GTGAAGACACAGATGCTCTAACATCTCCATAATTTCAGCCAGAAGACTGAAGGTTGCAGAGCTCCATGAGAGTCCTTCTGGTGGGCCAAAGAAAATCTGTTTGGTTTGACAGAGCAGATGCTTAAAAATTACTTTGGCTATATGGACCAAGTGTTTGTTTGCAACAGCAGGGTTTTCACGAGCAGATTTCCCATGTTTCGTTGCCCTTCAATATAGAAACTGTATGATATGTGTGAAATGACTTTTCCATTTCTTGTAACAATGCCCTGTCTTCTGGTAATTCTGCCCAGGCAGCCATAGGAAGAGCAAGGAAATGAGTTTTCATATTGTAAGGATGCATCCCAGTATGTCAGGCCATGAGTGAGGCAGAGCTGATCGCAGAGGTTATTTGATGTAGGCTTCCTTCCCCACTCTGCCACTGATTGCTTTTATGACCTTGAAGAGTCACCCCACCCCTGGTTTTCCCCCTCTTTAAACAGGAGTAATTATATCCAACTTCATGGAGTTCTTTGTGATCTAAAGGTATTAAATGCAAAGCTTGTTTATACGTTAGTGTCTCATAACCACCAGAACTGGCAATAGCCAACAATGTTAAAATGTGTGAAATTCAAAGCTGGTAAAAGGCAATACTTTTTTCACCAGTGTCTTTATGCATTGGAAACTCACAGCCACGAGCTGATGGTCAAAGCGGGAGGAGGAGCTGCATGCACTCAGGTAAACACAGAAATCTGTCCGATTTTCTCCCAGAGAAACCAAGCGGAGAAAGGTTTGGAGTGCGGTGGTGGGAGAGACTGAGGCTCTCACAAGGCACTTGCCATGACAGCCTGCAGAAAACAAACCTCACGCTTCTCGCCATGGCACATCTCGCTAACCATCAACTGTCAGCAGCAAGAAACGCCGCCGTAAACCCTCCGTGCTCTCAGGAGGGACAGGGTTCATGGCCGGTCGTGCATTGTGCACTGAAAACAGCAAGCCTTCTCCTCAGAGGAGCTCTCGGACGAGTTCCTGCAAGGCTGGGCACGCTCAGCCTGGCCCTGGCATTAACGTTGTGCGGGTGCACAGAAGCACTCGCTGGACAGCACAGCTCCTGCAGGATGATGGGGCAAAGTGTATTTGCTCTTTGGTTTGGGATCCCTTTGAGCTCTTTTCTGAGTCAACTTTGGAGGAGGAGGAAGCCAAAGGATGCAGCTCCCTGTGGAGACCCCTGTGCGCAGCCACTCGGTACCAAATCGAGGACAGGCACATCAGAGCAGAACAACTATTTCTGCTCACAACGTTGTTTCCCGATTTCCAGCTTCATGATAAAACACTGTGATTAAAAGACTCTAGCAATACATATTTGAGCGGTTTCATCCCTTCAGTACAAGGCATCCCTCCACTGGTAAGCCAAAGAGGGCTCCTGCCGACAAGCGGGACCAGGGTGGCAGCAGGGGACACGCGGCCATGCCTGGGCAGGAGCCCTCTGCAGCGACAGTGCTGCCTGCTGCCCGAGGAGCAGCGTCCGCCAGACCAGGCACCCCGCTGCATCCAGCCTGGAGTTAATTACGACATCAGCATCAAACAGAGACTTTTTAAATGAAAGGGAAGGACTAGCAGCTTTCTAGCTCTGCCTTTATTTTTTAGCCCCAATTACCAGACGCATTGCAAGGGAGAGGCAGTGGCAGATAATAAAGTTCAATGGGATGGTCTGAGTGTTAAGTGGAAAACCAGGAAAGCCTCACACCCTGATCCCAAATTGGACATTGATATGCTGTGTGGCCTCATCTCCTGGTTTTCTCCATGTAAAGTGAGGGTGATGCTTAGCCCAAGGGGCATTCCACAGATGAATTAGCATTTGGAAAGTGCTTTGAAGATTTAAAGTGTTATATAAATGCTAAGTGTTAGCATCATCAGCTTTTATATTGCAGCAGAACCCAGAGACTGCAATCAAGATCAGAGCCTGGCTTTGCTGTACCAGGCAATTTAGAAACTCCTGGTTGGAAAAAGCCCCTGTCCCTGCCTCAGCGATCCGCAGCCTGCGTGCCCCACACAGGCAGAAGAGGGGCTGGCATCGCTGTCAGCTTCAGGGGGAAAGGTTGCCCAGAGCTTTAGCACCTGGTGGCATTCTCAAGAGATGAACAGCGTGGCATGCTTCCCACAGCCACGCTTTTCACCAAAGAAGGGTAAGACCCAGCCCCTCCGGGAGCCCAGAGAGTAACTGCTGCCTTGGACGGACCACCCTGCAAGCGCAGTGCTCTCCGGACCCCCCGGATCCCCCCGAGCCCCCTGAGTGCGCTCAGCACCACGGGGTCCCCCGGCCTGGGCCCTCCCGAGGTGCCCCACGAGGCGGCCGGGCGCTCGGGCAGCAGCTGCTGATTGCCCTTTGGGAATGCGCTGCAAAATGCATGAGCTTGTCCCCGGCAGAGTTTCAGTCCCACCCGTTGTTTTGATAGTACAACTAAAGCAGACTGGCCTTAAAGTTTAGGAAAAATTGCAGAAGTACTCACAAAACAGATTTGATCGGAGATTAGCATTAACTGGCGTGCACAAAACCAGCCCGTCAACTTCATTTCCACCGCTTGCCCACTGCAAGATATTTCATAATTCTGTTTCCTTTCTAATCAGATGAAAACACAATATGAGTGTTAATCACAAAGCACAAATACGGAAGAATATGTAAAAAAGAAAAACAACTTTCAAAACCTTTGTTTTCAATATAGTTTATGTCATGCATTGCATTTAAAAACACCAGCAGATGAGATGATGTTATTTGCAACATCATTCATTAAAAAGTGTGCACTCAGTCAGCCAAGCACAAATCAACATATGACAGACTACAAAGAAATACCAAAGTAAAAGGAAACTTGAGATGAAACAGAGTGAGGTCATTGGTTTCTTGCATTATCCTGAAGATGTTTGTCAACATTTTAATTTAGCCAAATGGCCACCATTTAAAAAAAAAAAAAAAAAAAAAAAGAAAAAACTTTGTTTTGACAAAATCATGATCTGGGAGGAAGAACTTTTGAAAAAAACCATGTTAACCATTTCCAGTCCGTGCTTCTGAACGAGTCCTCCTGAGAAAAGGGAAGGGAGGTATGTCCAGTCTGATGGCATTATCTGTGAGAGGACCGAGTAGAAATCGTTCCTTCAGATTTACAGTCTACTCCTCTACTATTTGTACTACTTGTAGGTTGTAAGACATGGCTGAGATATGGCAGGGGTTGTAAGGAAAAATATCCTGAATCTTTGCTACATCTACTGCTCTCGTTAGGCAGCACATCAGTATGTGCGAGCAAGGCAGACCTCGAGACAGGAATTCAGCTGATAAAGTGAATGCAAATTACAGCTACCGTGAAATGTCCCCAGCCTTCCAGTGCCACATCCAGTGCCTCACGGGGGTGAGAAGGTGCCTGTGCCAAACCACACACTGCTGTTGTTGGGCTTGGGTCACACTGCAGCGCATGGGCACGCTTCCCATGGGGAGCAGTGGCAGGAGCTGGACGCGCTCGCCACCCAGTTGTGGCAGTCTCACCCCAGCACAGAACCCACTGCCTCACCAGCCCGGGAGCGGGAACAGCCGGGAGCTGCTGGAGCCAGTGGTGACAGCGCTGAGAGCTGCATGGGGAGTCAGCCCTGGCCCTGCTAACAAACACATGCTTGTCAGCTTTTCCCTCTTGTCCCACGGAGCAGTTGCTGTTGAGTCGAGCATCTGTAGGAATGAGCGGCTGGAGCGCTCGCTCCCCATTTTGAGCTCTGGGTACAGAAAACTGAGGCTGGGGGGGGTCTGGCACGCGCTGCCCACCCCAG